AGTTCAGTGTGTTCTCTTTTTTTTGGGGGGGGGGCCCAGTCATGGGGCCTGAACTCTGGGCTTGGGCGCTGTCCCTCAGCTCTTCAGCTCAAGACTAGCACTATACCATTTGAGCCACAACACCACTTCCGGCTTTTTTTTCTGCTTATGTGGAGCTGAGGAATTGAACCCAGGGCCTCATGTATGCAAGGCAAGCGCTCTACCACTGAGGCACCTTCCCAGCCCTTCAGTATGTTCTCCAAGAAATGAGAGGTTCCCAAGAAACTAAGAAACCATTTTGCTGAAAGGATCCAGTGTCAGAAATAGCCTTGCATCCAGAAAGCTTACTTCCCTTCCAGACATGCTTGCTGTTGCCTCTCACATTGGAGAAGACTCTTCTAGAAAAATAATTGGAGCTGTGTATGCTCACTATGTGTACTTTGCTGTGTCTGTAGGTAAAGAAAAGATTATCATGAGTGGGGCACTGGTGGCTCATGCCTATAATCCTGGCTACTCAGGAGACTGAGATTTGAGGACTGGGGCTCAAGACCAGCCTGGGCAGACAAATCTGTGAGACTATTATTTCCGATTAACTACTAAAAAGCCAGAAGTAGAGGTGTGGCTCAAGTGGTAGAGCACCAGCCTTGAGCAAAACAACCCAAGTGACAGTGTGAGGTCCTAAGCTCAAGTCCCAGTACCAGCAAAAAAAAAAAAAAATCACATCATAAAGTGTATGTTTGTACCCCAGGAGCAGATAAATGTAATATTTGAAGCAAAGAATAGTCCACCTCTCTTAGTAGATTTTGTTTATCTGTCTTCCTGAAGACAGGAACTAAGTGAATACTGAGGTCCATCCAGCTCAGCAGTGTGTCCAGTTCTACAGGAGTTTTATTCTGTTTCAACGAACTCAAGAAGCCCATAATACTTAACAGGGTGTGGCTTAAGTAATACAGTCCCTGTTACTGGAATGAGACCCTCAGTTCAAACCCCAGTGCTGCCATATGAGTAGGTCAGAGATGTCTATACAGAGCATTATATGTGCGTACACATATGCATATGTCACATGTGCCCATATGTGTGCACTTACATATATATATATATATATATATACACTCCTATATGGCCACACACAGGTGTGCCTATATATACATGTATACTAAATGTATAGAGTTTTGTCTACATATATTATTCTTATAGATTTAGAAAAAACATATGTTGAATACCTATCTGGAATACATACACATGTGATGTGAAAACATGTACATGGGTTTATATGGGTCTGTATGTACATACACTTGCACATATATGTATGCATAACTTTTCAATCATCTCTATTTACCTGAACTAACTGGAGATCAGACCAAACATTTTCTTAAGTTTCTCATGCCCAGACCCTCAATTAAAACTTCATGATAAAATATTTTATTTCAGATTAAAATTTTCTATATTCTGAAATTGCTTGAGTTGATCTTAAAAATCCTTAATATAGCCCCCCACCTGTTTTGTCAGTCATGGGGCTTGAACTCAGGGCCTAGATGCTATCCCTGAGCTCATTTTGCTCAAGGCTAGTACTCATCACTTTGAACCACAGCTCCACTTCTGGTTTTTGAGTAGTTAACTTGAGATAAGAATCTCACAGGGACTTTTCTGCCTTGGCTGGCTTCAAACAGTGATCCTCAGTTCTCAGCCTCCTGAATAGCTAGGATTACAGGCATGAGCCACTGGTGCCCGGCAATAGCTTCTTACATTAACAATATCCCAAGGGTCCATAAGATACAAGGCTATTAAAACTCTAGCCCTGCATTCAAAGTTTAGAATCTTCACCTCACAGCATCCAGTCCAGAACTACGCTCCTCTTGTAACTACAGACCACAGCATGGATTCTGAATCCTTATGGAGAAGGGCAGAAAGAAAAGGCTCAACAAAACAGAGAAGATTGATTTCATCCTCACTAGGGCTGATTAAAGGAATAGTTTATGCAGATAGGTGGCCTCCACCAGACCTGTGGGGAAACAGAGAGGTCATGGCAGCAGGTGTCCTTTGTGCTGGACCATCATTGCCTTTATTGAGAAGTTTCAAGAAAGGCTACAAGTGGAAGCCAAAGTGCAATGTACTGAAAAGAGAATAGGGAAGTAGGTGGTTAGGATTTTTGGCTCTTACACACACACACACACACACACACACACACACACACACAAAGCTAGAATAAAAATTCAAGCAATAAATAGATTACACGGGATCAAGAGAGACTGCTTGCTTTAAAGAAAATCTATTTAGGATGGAAAAAGATCAAAGTAACACTGAAAAACTGCAACTTGTGGGCTGTACCACCCTCCAGAGCCAATTCCAGGCTGTAGCCAGGGTGCATGAGCTCCCCATGCATCCTTTAGCCCCTCCATCTGGGTTCCATTCCGACACACGACAGGAATCCAATCAGTCGGTCATTCACATGCAAGGGAACAGAGGCGATGGGCCATCACCTGATGTCCAGGGGCTTGCACATGTGGCTGCTCAGGCCATGGTCACATGATGCCCACGATCTGAATACAGGACTTCACAGGGCCATGGTGAGGGATGCAGAACCTCTATGGGAGAAGGCCTTTGCCCTGACTGCTCAGATAGGCTTCTTTTCTGCTCTCTCATGCTGACGAGAAGGCTCAAGAAAGAAGCAGGAAAAGGAGATGAGGAATGGAAGCAGAAATATCTTTGGATACCAGTAGTAAAGATGCTCAAGTCAGGACAGTCCAGGTGCAAGGGGCAGATTAGAAAAGTGACATTTCTTGAAGGATGGAGCTGGCTGCTTTAGGCTGCAATATTGTCTCTCCTCAGTCTCTCATCATCTGGTTTGGTTCCTCTACCCCATGGTGGATGTTTCCAAGAGAAACCTAAGAAGTTCAGCAGTAGCTCCAGGCTCAACTTCTGTCAATACAAGAACCCCAAAGAGCCAAGCACTTTTCCTTCTTTCAGTTAAAATAAAGGTTGTGGGAGCAGTCCCCTCTGGAAGGGATTGCATCCTTAACCAGTAGGGGGTGACAGAGCCTCAGTAGCATGGCCACCCTGCCAGCCCCACTCAAACCCCTGAGACAGAAAGCAGGTGCCAAGAACCTCCAAAAGTCAACACATGACTATTTTATGCAGACAGTGGATAGAAAGAGGGTGCTGGGGGAAGGGGGCTCAGAGGAGAGAGAGAGGGAGAAAAAAGGATTATTTTCAAAGATTAGAGAGCAGAGAAAATTCCATGGGACAATGGGGTAGAGTGAAATTACTTGCTCAAGGAATTGTTATTGCATTTAGACTCAGAGTTAACACAATGAGAAAGAAGACAATTTCTTCTCTGAGTAGGAGACTGTCATTAGAATTGCCAGTTAC